CATTGGGGGAGATGGGCAGCATACAAATTTGAAAATAAATAAATAAATAAATAAATAAAATGCCACCTTAGCTCTAAGAAAACTGCCCTTTCTTGCTCTTCTAGGCACACATCTTAATTTGTGAGACGTGACTCTCCACGTGAGGGGGGGGTGAGTGGGAGGGATGGCGTAATTCCTAATGCAGTCATGCTAATTTCCCAGTTCATAAAATAGTTGCAATTTCTGCTGTTACCCTTTGAAAGGGGAGTAAAGTAGCCTGCTTTTTGCTTAGCATTAACTTTTAAGTTCACGGTTCACTGTAGTGTGGAAAGCCTAGTTTATCAAATGTTTGTTGCAGAATCTGAAGGAACAATCTTCTCATCTTCAAGATTTTTTGGATTAATTTAATTTTGGCACAGTGTGCTTTTCACTTTAGCGGAGATTGCTTATAACGTGAGAGCTGTAGTATCAAGCATATTATGTATTCATTGAGAGTCTATTGTGGCACTCTGAAGATGAATGGTGTACTTCAAACATTTATTTATTAAGGTATTTGTTTCTAAGATACCGCAACAGTATAATTTTCCTGTAAAGGGGTAATGCAGCTTCTGTTATGGAAATTCATGGTGATATACAAGTTTATAGGCAGTGTATAAATTAAAGGTGAAGCTTTTTGAATAAAGTTCTCATAATTCTGGATACTAATTCTTGGGAAATGTTTTGCAGTGCATTCTTAGGAGTAGAAGGTATTGTTAGAAAATATGGAAAACTACACAATAATTGGTTTGATGCTGTGTTTTCTAGTTGTTCAATTTTTTTTCCCTACAGATGCACCATGGTGTGGTCACTGTAAGGCTCTGGCACCTGAATATGTGAAAGCAGCAGCAAAGTTGAAATCTGAAAACTCTGAAATCCGATTGGCTAAGGTAGATGCTACAGAAGAATCAGAACTTGCCCAACAGTTTGGTGTTCGAGGTTATCCTACTATCAAATTCTTCAAGAATGGAGATAAATCTTCCCCCAAAGAATACACAGGTGAGAGCATCATGAAGCTGTTAAAGAATTCTAATCAACTTCCTTAGAGGACTGATGCTGGACGATAGAAACAAAGGCTAACAGGGTTTTGTACAGGAGAACTAATAAACATTTATTGCGTCAGAAGGGCTGTGGAGTGCTTCAGAATTGAAGGAAAGTACTGTTTCAGAGTGCACAAGGGTGCATATGGAGTAAACGTTTTTAGTTCTTTAAAGTAGAGTGCATCCTTTCCCAGGATCATGAGTTCAGTCCTGGGAAAAGAAACATCTGGTGTAAAGAGTTATAAATAGATATTCTATTTATTCCAAAGATCCTTTTTGTTTTTGAATCTGAAGCATTACACTGCTGTAGTTTCAAACGGTGTTAAAATATTGGCTTTTACTTTCTTCTTCCATATCAGACTTTGATGAGAAAGCCCCATCAAAGGCATGCTACTGATAACTTTTATGCCTTTTGTCCTTGCACGTTAAGCTGTTGAATATTTTTGCCAATTAGTCAGCTTCTTTGCTATAATTAGCATTTATAATTACTATCTTTTGTAGATTGCTGTGGGATATTTATGCAGCTGTATTGGGCCTCCTAATACTTTTGCTCTGTGACTGGCTATTGGCAGCATAATTAAAAGTCTGTGCTTATAAAGTGTTTTGTATTTGGCTTTATGTAATTAAACAAAGCATAGTCCTTTATATGTAATTACACTTAAGAAAATAGAATTGACAAGTCACTCTATGTTGAATGTGATGGTTACATATCTGTAACATGTTCTCTGTTACAGTTACTGTTGTGAAGTGTTGAAGTAATAGCTAATCAAAGAGAATTTCAGTCACAGGTTTCTAAGAAATTGCTATCAAGATATTTGGCCTCTGAAACAAAATACAGATTTTGAGTTTTGGGGCTTGTTGGCAGCACATTGTATTCATTTTACTAGGTTTTTATGCTGTTCCAATTGCCAACCAACTCTGAGTGACTTACAATCCTATCATACACGAACAAGATTAAACCACTAGAAATAGCAAGCAATATTGTTTAAAATAATGTCAGTATAGAAATGTTTAAAATAAAATATTTCTGTGTTGACATTTTCACAGGTGTTGCATGCTGGGTAAATGAATGTGTCAGCTCTTGTGGAACACAGGTGGTTATGAATCATTACTGTGTCTGTAATACAGCAGCACACAATGCAACTGTAAGAGGGAGAGGAAGGCTGTAGGGAGTTTGGTCACCGTTTTTCTGAGCTGTTCTAGGAGCATTGGAAGCACAAGACAAAACAGATTTCATAACTCTAACTATGGCAATAATTGGGACTTGTTTTGCCCCTTGGCTTTGAACTTCCTTTGTCAGCTTGGAACTGGAATGGTGGAAATGATTTGAGAGCTTGTGAAATGCAGCAAGACTGGATATAATTGCTGTTCCTTCTATGAAGTTGAGAACAAGGCACCTCTTTCTCACCATTTGGAGAGGCTCCCAATTAGTCTCAAAACCTATCATAGTTTGGCTCTGAATTGAAACTGTAGCTTGAGCAAATGATCTGGGAAAACCTTATTTGCTGCTACTGTAATGCACAGAGATAGGGTTCGCACATCACTGTGAGTTGCACCATGAGACAGTAAGACAACACCAATCATATTGTTGGCTTATATTTTATGAACTTAGCTATAGATTCATGTGTATGTGCACCTGATTTTGTCTGCAGGATTGCACTAAATGCACCAACTGAAATAGTGTTGGCTTTATGGATTTTATACCCATACATTGGTAGGAAAAATCCCTAGAATCTCAGAATCACGACATTTGGGAAGGGCCACTTTAGCCACTCAGTCCTCATTGCAGGAATACAAACTAAGGTAATCCCAGTAGAGGGCTGTCCAGTCTTTGCTTAAACACAGCCAGTGCTGGAGAACACACTTTCTCCAGGTAACCTGTTTGCGTATTACTCTTAATGGTTGTATGTTTTTCCTAACATTACACTGGAATCTGCCTTCCTGTAGCTAAATCTCCTGGGCTCTAATGATAGAGAACATCGTTTTCTTCTGATCTGCATTTTCTGCGTAGGTTTTTGTTTCTGATGCAGAGTACACAGATGACCTCTGTTATCCATGTGAAATCTCCAGCCTTGTGCTTTTTGGAGAAGGGATGTGTAGCTGATGCTTGAGTTGGACACACAGATGAAGTGAACAGAATGTAAGAATAGGTTGTTAAGGGAGAATAGACAGAAAATGCTGTGGAAGATAAGGAAGTAGTAGTTCCACCCAATTTTGGCTTTAGGTCAGACTGTACATAGAATGTGGCCCTTGACCAAGAATGACAGCACTTCTTCAGTGGCCAGAAGCCACATGGGGAGGGGAGGGCGAAGGTTGAGCTGCCAAGTGTTATCTGCAGACCAGTGACTAGATGGTATCCCCTGGGTGGATGGAGTTTTTTTTTTCCCCCTCCTGAAAGTGGGCAGAAATTCCTATCTAGATTGGGCATATGGTTTTTCAGTGTATTCCAGTACTTCAAAAAAGAAATTCATAGAGTTTTCAAAGACTTGGTCATATCAATGAGGAAGAATACTCCCACCCCCAAATAGGGTGCCCATAGCAACCAAGATAAGGTAGCACCAAATGATGGTACCTAGTAGGTGGACAACTCTGCCTCAGCAGCTGGACAGTGTGCAGCCTCTAGCTTTTTATGTACGTATGTATGCATGCATGTGAGGATAAAGGTCTATGGATTCTTGCCAATCTTTAGGTACTACTGTACTGTTTCTGTTGAGTGGAGAGAATCGATGAAGCGTATTCTCAGTACTGCCTCTCTAATTCTTACCTTTCTTTAAAAAAGTTTCCGTAGCATTAAATGCCTAAAATGTTTCAGTAATAAAGATTCTGTCACTTGTAACAACTATAATCAGTTATATTGCAGTACCATAGTATAGAACCTTTAACGTTTCTGTTTTGGAGCTGTGACGATTTGGTTCAGGATAAGTGGAGATTACAGTGAAGATATAGACGCACGCAAGTAGAACTCTGCCTTGTTAGTCTCGGGAGTGGGGCTTTATTCTCTATTTAGTCTTGAAAGACAAAAGAAGGGTAAGATGTCTGATAAGTAATTTTTTCCTCTAATGTAGCTGGCAGAGAAGCAGATGACATCATAAATTGGTTAAAGAAACGCACAGGTCCAGCAGCCACTACCCTGGCAGATGTAGCTGCTGCTGAGGAACTAGTGGAATCCAATGAAGTTGCTGTGATTGGATTCTTTAAGGTATTTTTTCATTCATAAATCAGGGTGAGGGATTTTTTAAAGACAGTGGCAGCATTCCTGGGATGGAGGAAGAGAATGACAAACAGAAATACAAGCTAATCAATTGCAGAGGTATTAGACAGTAAACGACCTGAAATTTGGCCTTGTTGCCAAAGATTGACTGCATGTGCAGTCTGCATATGCAGATCTGTGGTTATTTCTTCTTGAGCTAATTTTTCTTGTAGCCTGTCTATTTTCCCTAATAGGGGAAAAATTTGGTGCCTGTTTAGTTCTGTTTTGGTTACTTGTAATTTTGAGATGATAGGATTTGCAGTGTACACCAAATCATGGCATGATGGGTGACCATACAAATCGAAATAAGAATAAAAATGATGTGGGTTTTTTTTCTTGTTTGTTTGTTTTACATGTAGGATGTAGAATCTGATGTTGCCAAACAGTTTTTGTTGGCAGCAGAGTCCATTGATGATGTTCCTTTTGGGATCACTTCCAGGAATGATATCTTTGCCAAATACCAGCTCAAAAAAGATGGAGTTGCTCTTTTTAAGAAGGTGAGTGGCTGTGAGGAAAGGAAAGAAATCCTGATTGTTTGGTGTATGTTAGTCTGCTTGGCGGCACTTTGCAAAGTTAATGTTTTTTTCTATTTTAGTAAGTTTCATCCAAGGTTTATGTGTTGCAGTAAAGCCACTTGATTTGGAGGAGGCCATTGGTAACCACTTAAACTAATCATTGCTTCAGAATCCATCAGTGCTAATATTCTGTGCTGAGGTTTTTTGTTTTCCAAAACTTCTCCTACATTGCTTGCTTGTTATTAAGAAATACTCTAGGGGCAGTGAACATAGCAAAGTCCTTATCTGTCCCATTTATGATGAACAAACAAATTTATCAGCACAATCTTAAAAGTAAGTCCAGTAGGCTTAGAAAGAATAAATTTGAGAGTACAGATAGTCCTCACTTAATGACCATTCATTCAGTGACCATTGGAAATTATGACAGTGCTAAAAAAATGGACTTATAACCTGTGCCTAAAATTACAATGGCCATTGGAAATTATGACAGTGCTAAAAAAATGGACTTATAACCTGTGCCTAAAATTACAATGGCCATTGGAAATTATGACAGTGCTAAAAAAATGGACTTATAACCTGTGCCTAAAATTACAATGGCCATTGGAAATTATTGCAGTTCTAAAAAAAGTGGCTTAAAACCTGTCCCAAAAATTACAAAGGGTGGAGGCCCCCCCCCCCCCCATGGTCACGTGATCAAAATTTGGGCTCTTGGCAGCCCACCCATGCTTACAACTACAGGGGTGCTTCAGCTCCCCCCCACCCGCCAATTTCCCCCCATCTCTGCCCTTTGGCCCCCTGCTGCCCTGTGCTTCATCACCCCAGCTGACCTTTGCTGCTGTCTTCTTGCTCTTGCTGCTGGCAAGGAGTGCCTGGCCTAGCTGCCGGGCCCCATGGGTCTGGATTTGCGCCGGGAAGAAGGGAAAAAGAACGAAAAGCCGCCTTCTTTTCCCCTTCCTCCGGGGGCAAA